TGTTTTCCCCAAACACATGGATTGTGTATGAATGCAATTAATGTCCACTGTTCAAGTTTAGACCAAATATTCCACTGTGTAATTCTAAGAAAAGAGGGTGTTAATTAATGAGTTAAGTGTAATTTTATGAAGTGGATTTTTAAAACTATATTTTTATTTATTTCAGAGAGAAAGGGAGAGGGAGAGAGAGAAACATCAATGATGAGAGTGAATCCTTGACCTGTTGCCTCCTGCACGCCCCCTACTGGGGATGGAGGTCACACTCTAGGCATATGCCCTGACTGGTAGGGAACCATGACTTCCTGTTTCAGAGGTGGACACTCAACCACCGAGCCATGCAGGCCGGGCATGAAATGGATTTATGCAAATAAAGCTCTTGTGCTTCTTTAGAACGCGGGTGCTTAGTGACGCCCAAGGCACCTGTCAGAGAGCAGGGCGGGGTCCCGTGCTCCTACTGTACTTTTGCCTCCTGTTACACTTACACCTGCCCAAGGAGTCCGTCTGGAAACCTTGGCCCCACTCCGGTCTCCAAGGGCAGACAGGCTAGAGGACGTTTATCCTAACCAGCAACTCCAGTTCCCCCTCTGCCCTCTCTGCGGCCAGGAGAGCTTAGAAAACACTGCATCAACACCTCTACCCTTTCCAGGATTCAGCCCCAGAAAAAGAGCGAGAGAATGTAAAAACAGAGAAACAAAAGCTTTAAATTTAGGGCAGCATTGGAAAAACACAAAATCTGTTTTCCATATGTGCATTTGCTATTTAACGGAAGTCTAACAAAACAAATGAGCAACAACAAAAAAATTCCCCGAGATGTTCTTCAAAATCAAAAGCTATGCGAATAAGCAACACCACTAAAACTGGCAATAGTTGGGTTAGAATTAGATATATGTATTCTGCAGGAAAATTTAATAATAAAAAGGAGAATGGCGAAAAATACAATATTTACATCATACTTGACTTGCTAAACGTGTAGCTAGTTTTGTTCCATTCAGAAATTAGTTATTACTTAAATTTTATATAGCAGTTACTGTTCTCAAAATCATGGTGTAGGGGAAGTAACTGGCCTCCTTTGTCATTAATGTGAATGGTAATGTTGCCATTGTCAATTACTGAAGAGAAATGTATTACATTTTTTTTAAATCACATTGAATTATAAAAAATGGGATTTTAAAAAGATTTGTGCAAGTCAGAGTAAGTAGCAAATGATAATAATAAACAATAAGGAAACAGTAACAAAAATATTAGGATCAGTGAAGATTTTTTAAAATTAGTTTTTTATTACTTTCCAGAGCCTGCCAGAGTAGTTTAAAAATAAAATCCATTAATAACTCAGTTTTTTATGCACAAAATATGATTTACTCAATGGCAATGTGATAAAAGTGAAGATATAACTGTGGTTTGGTTTTGTTTTTAAGTCACAGCTAATCACTATTTTAAAATAAAAGTGTTTAAAAGTCAGAGAGGAGAAGAAATTAAATTGTAATTGAAATATTTTCTTCAATTTTCTGTTGATCATGTAAACAATCCTAAATATCCAGTTCTCTTCTGCTCCCCACGTCGAGTTTTGTTTGTTTGGGTGCACAAGATAATTAGTTGCTTACTCTGCCAGTAAGCAGTGCGCAAGGAGACCACACTGCCCCTAGCAGAAGGCTCTCTGACTGTAACAGACGCGGGGCTTTTCCCCTCACTTCAGCTAGCTGCCTCAAAAAATGGCTATTTTACTTAAGAAAAGTTACCCTCATAGTGCATAATTTTTTCAACTAGGACAATATATATATATTTGGTATGTCAAATGTATGTGTATTATCTTTCAATTCCATTCTTTTTATGTTTTAAAGGTACCATTTGTTTACATAAATTAGAATTCTTTTAACCACTCATCTTTCATAAAAATTAGAGAAAATAAACCAACCATCTTTTCAAAAGATGCAGTTTGTCATTTGTAAACATGGGTGCCTTTATAAGTGTGTGTTTCAAACTCCCCCCCCCCCCTTATATACAAAAGCAGTTGAGCTTCATGCCTACCGAGATAAAAATCAGTGTGCTGCTTGCTTGCTTATGGTCATGTAAGGATACATATAAGAAATAACTCAATGTTTACTATTAGTGATGGACATTTCTTCATTTAAAAATCATTGGACAGACCAGGCATTCTAGCCAGGACTCCGATAAGGGTCTCCTTTCTCAGCAATGTTAAGACTGGGGCAGATACTGTGAAATTAATTCAGTAATCCAGGATTTTTTTAAAAGTGCAAATTGTGGCATGCCATAAGAGTTCCTGGAACATTTTTATACTTCCAGGACATTTAACAATTGCTTTAAGTTTCTGATTATTTCTTTATCAAAATTCAGGTAATACAATACTTGAGGTCAGTTAATGGTCCAACAGCCAATTTAATTTACATTTCCTTTCCCTCGCCTCCCACCTTCACCTCCCAAGCCCCCTCTCCCTGCAAAATATATTTTCTCTCTTTCTGTGAGCAGCTGGGAATTATCCACAGGATTAAGTTGTCCAGGATCAATGGGTGGGGTGGGTTGCTTGCTGAATGAGAGAACAGGGCTGTTTCCCATGACAAGCCAGTAGGCGGTGCTAACTACAGGGGGCTGCACTCAGAGATTTTAAACCAAAGAACTCACAGAATAGGTGGCTGGTATCAACAGCTGTAGAATGACCAATATGATCCACGGAGGAGGAAATCTCAAAAATCTGAATGTGGCAGAGAGCAGTGTAACATAAGCATATTGTATAATGCATTATGAGTGTCCAGTGGAAACCTAAGATGGCCAGAGGTTCTCAGTATGATTTTTACTTACAGATGTCAAAGCACAGGCACATATGTGTTCCCACGGTAAAGTCCTACGAACTCCCGCCCCCGATGGTTTTCATCTCATTGGGGTGCATCATACTGTACAACTCAGCTCTGCCCCAGCTGTGAGGACCCCCCCCCACCC